GGTGAGGGGTCTGGCGCGGCGCTAGCCGCAGATCTTTTCATTGCAAGCGAGGACTGTATCATATCGCTCGTATCGGTCATTTTCCATCGATTATTATCACTTATCCGCTCCAGCAACTGGTGGAGAACAAACTGGCGGCGAGCCAATGAGAGATTATGAGATTAATGACGCACCTTGCTACCTGCGAACATATCTTCCCGTTGGCTGGGCAACAAATTCATCCAAATTGATATGTGAGTGAGTTTGCTCATCTCTTCGCGGACAATATCGACTTCCTTAAAAAATGTAATTTGAATGAGCAAAGTTCCTCTCCATTGCAGAGCAAAATCGATGAACGTTGAGGAACTAACCACAGAGTTAAAGCTGTTCACTAGAAAAGTTATAATGGCACATTGTTCGGCGTTGCTTCGTGAGTTTTCGTCCAGTGACAATTCAAGAACCCGATGTATGAACCCGGGGAAATGTTCTGGTTTCTTCACGAAACACTGAAAAATCATGATCACTAGGCTACCACTGACTGACCAACTAAAGTAGCTGAACACACAATGGGACATACCTGCCAAGCATCAATTCTCTCTCGGAATTTTTCGTTCAGCATGACAACAATGGACATCACATGAGCTACACTAGCCTGTTCGGTGTAATTTGGCCATAAATAACATTCAAGATACTGGCTGAAAGTAGGGATATGTGCAACACTTACAAACATCAGAATCGAACGATTTATGCACTCTATGAAAAGCAGCTAAGCTGGGGTTACTAAAAAGCCAGAAGAACCTCAAATCAAGCTAATTATCTTACCTGAACTCTAGCATAATTATTTTCCTTGGATTGAAGTGTGTTTCTATCATTTCATGTTGATAAATTGTGTCTACTAGTGGAGCAGAATATGGTGCATGTGTTTTTGAAAAAGGTGCCCAGAATTTCGAAGCAACCTTAAAATTTAGTAGTGACAAAAATAATACTTTACAAGGAATAACATGAACAAAGAGCATGAAACTCTAGACGTACTTCAGTGATGGTCTCCTTTTGAAGAGCATCTACGGTAACAATCGCTGACGCGGCTTTTGCTGCCGTTTTTGCCACCATTTTCTACTAAAAAAAGGAAACTAAGAAAAACCCTTACGTGACGATCAGAAACGATTTAATGAGTTGCAAGCAGTAAATGCCATTATGATATTCAAAGCAGCGATGTTCCAAATAAGTGAGAAATCACAAAGAGAAAAGGAAGCCATATTTCCCGACACCCATTAAATTCGAAAACACAAGATGTCGCGTGAAGCCCGAGCACTACGTGTAATTGCACACTGGAGGGGGTCACCGTAACATTACCTCTGAAATTCTTTTCCTCTATATGTAATTCTTACTCATTGTGAGTTGGCATTTCAGGAAAGGGTACCACAATGAACTACAAGCGTATTCATCCACCTGTCATCTATCGTGCCGTTTTTGGCGACAACGGCTCAATTCATCCTTTTAACGTGCATCTTTGGTCCACTGGTTTCCTCTTGAAAGTCCCCGCCCAGTAGCGACGGCAATAATCAAATTCCATTTCTAAAGGTGTTTCGGTGGTGCGGTTGTTCCACTGCTATCTCTCGTCATTTCGAATGGGGAGAATGAGATGATAATGGAGAAGAGCTGGCCACAGAACAAAACATGTGGAACTCGTCCGACCACGCCCTTCTTCGTCTTATGCACTTAAGAACGCGGTATAGCATGGAACTCTATATGACTTTTCCACCAGGTTTTTCCTTCACTGCTGGATCAATTATTCATTTTTTTCACAAATTTTAGCCGCCCAACTCCTCATTCTTTAACCTGGGCCTTAAACATTTCCTGAACATTTCTCGGCCTCACAGTGGTTCATGTTTTTGGGCACATAATATTCCCCTTCATGTTATGACCGCCAAGGCAAGCATGCTGTGCTTTCTCATCAAATACATAATTTCATGCCATTTCCGTATATAATCGTGCGGGGATGACACATTGGCTTCCTTTATCAAGCAGCGTACCCCCTAACCCTTCTCCTCTACAAGGAGGAATATCGTAATTATTCCATGTGAATAAATACATACTCAAAATACCCGTTTAAGGCGGTTGGCACCATGATTTCGGAATTTTAAAAATTTTTCTTACATTTTTCGATTCCAGGGTTCATTCAATGCCCTGGTCATAGAGGAAGCATTCATTTTTGTCACTGATGCCACATTTTTGTCACCAAGTTGACCAAACCAATCTAGAAGCCTTGTTGCACTTCTGAGGCAGAGATTAAAGGTATGGAATCCTTCTTCCTCCCAGGCTCAGCCTAAGCAGAGCGCCAGGTAGCGCCGGTGCTGAGAAGTGAAGTATTCGTGATCAAGGTCCCGATTACCACTAAGTGCAAGTTCATAACAGCTACGGGGATAATGTCTGACCCTGACTGTAGACCGTTTAAGCGTCGAATGGTCCTGGGGCCAACAACGAATGCTGAAGCACTGAACACACCGGCTGTCAAAAATTCAGCGAAAAAAAAATTGAGATTTTCGTGTTCCAGTGGTTGGATGATGCCGGCAGTTGGACTGATGTCTTTCTTCCTGACCCTGGCTACATCGACGTTTACAGGGTAAGCGATAAACCCGCTCCAGGTCCCCCTTCAGGCCCGCCTTGCGTCGAAAGTAGTGTGCGTGCGGCTCAACTACTGATAAAAGCATAGTAATTACGACAGCAAAGAAGCGAAAGCCCCGCCAGAAGCGCTCAATGTGGAACCCCATGCTGGACCGCACTTGTTCCTCCACAAGGCGAAAAGGGGGGGGGGGTGGTTGGACGAGTTTTCACTTGTTGTTATCAGCTTTTTCTCTTTATCGCCTCATTCTCACCATTCGAAATGGAGAGTTGTAGTCGCGTAACAAACAATATCACCAGGAAGCCTTCACATGAACGTTGGGCGTCGTTGTGACCAGTGGGCGGAGTGTAGTTCCGCCGCTTGATGGAGCTTGCGGGCAGAACTACTATATATGAGAAAATGTCGATAATACGGTGACATTGTGTGTTCTGAAACCTTCAAGATAATCGAAAAGAGTGCTCCCTTCATTTTTTCATCCTCATGGCAGCTTTTTTTGTGCCCGAGGTTTCAGTATTCGTCTAGAAAAAAAACAGCATTCGGCTCTAACAAAAGCAAAACTCCTCGGGATAAAAAAGCTAGAGCTATCCTACTATATATAATCCGCTGTTTGTCTGTGTGTGTGTGTGTGGTGTGTGTGTGTGTGTGTGTGTGTGTGTGTGTGTGTGTGTGTGTGTGTGTGTGTGTGTGTGTGTGTGTGTGTGTGTGTGTGTGTGTGTGTGTGTGTGTGTGTGTGTTTGACCGGAAATTCATAACTTCCTTCAAAGAGCGGATAGAGCGCTTAAACTGATAAGTGATGTAGGGTTAGGGCAGGAACACTATTGGTAGGTGGCAGAAAGTGATAAGAGCTGATAAGATACCACAGGGTCTTAGAAGGGGACAGGCACCAACTCTATAGCGCGGGCCGCAGCAACGACGGGACGTTGGTTCCAAAAGGTAAGAGAGGGCGAAGGATGGGAACATTATTGGTGGGTGACAGGCCGTGATAGCAGCTGATAAGATACCATAAGGGGCCTTAGAAAGGGAGCGTCGCCAATTGCGTAGCGCGGGCACAGCAACGATGGGACGTCAGTTCCAAGAAGTAATATAAGGGGCAGGCTGGGAACATTACTGATGGGGCAGGACGTGATAACAGTTGATAAGATACCACAAGGGGGCTTAGAAGGGAAGGGTCACCAACATCAAAGCGCGGGCCACAGCAGCGATGGGGCATTGTTCTAAGAAGTTATAGGGGTCAGGATGGGACCATTATTGGTGGGTGGCAGGACGGCAGAGGATGCCCCTACGAAGTTCATAGCACGAGCTGTAGAAACACTGGAGAATTGCTTCCACCAAGCCATTCAGAAGCGGTTACAGAGCGTGGTGAAAGGATATATAAGTTTGTATATAATGTGAGAAAAGGGCCTATAAGCATCAGTACCTGTTCGCATCCTTACTGCTCAGCCTGAACTTGAGCACCGGTGCCCAAGAAACAATAGGCAGAGGTTTAGTGAGTCAAGTTATTCCATCCCTTAGCGATATGGTTGGGACTGATTGGACCGCTAAACTCTCGAGTTTCGACAAAAATTAAAAGCCCTGAAAGCTGCTTAACGATAGTACTAGGATGTGGGGATATTTCACTATGGTGTCCATGTTATTACCATCGAAACTCTTTCAACCGCTAAGCTGTCCTATTTCCAACGAATGGTGAGTGTTTTTTAGAAATGTGATAAGCACCAGACATTAGCAAATGTTCATTAAACAGGAGAAATATAATGAAATGGGCCGTATTTCAAAAAATGGCAATTGGGCCAAGTGTTTGGGGTCAGTACAGAAATCCTGTCAGCGATCAGTACCATTACCATAGGTTCAACAATGCGCGCAGTAGTGCGCGTCAGCCAAGCTGGTATAGTAATAGTCCACTAATAGGTGCATCGGAAAGTAGGAGCAGGTAAAGTCAGCACTCATGGCCAGAGTAAACTCTCACCGGGCCAAATATGAACCCCTCGTCGCCAATATGGATTCCATAACAACGATGTTCCCTGATCCTGGAACCGTTGCTGGTTCAATATTCGATTATTTGGCACGGTTTGCCATTCAGACGGTTGAATTGCGATAGTGCCAAATGAAAACAGTCAGTGAATCCATAATGCATTCGTGTTTTTGATTCCATGTGCTAATTAATTCTTTTTACGATCTCTGGAATATGCGTTCCATTCACATCTCCCGTGAATTTAATGTAGACTCTATGTGTAAGTGCACCAGCCTAGCTGACCCACGCAGTTGCGTGCTCCACTCGATGCAGTTGATATCGTCCCAATCAATCCGGGCGGTGTCAACAAGTAAAGAATGAGACCACCCGCGGTGTTTCCACCACTGGTTGTTCTCTTCCTGAATTATTCTCTCACCGATCACTACCGGTGAAAAAGGCGTGGGCGGGCTCACTGTAACCCTCTTGATACCTCCCGCGTGATTGTGACGATATTAACTATGACCACTCTCATGATCAGTGTTAGTCGCACAGCGAGCTCGTACAATATCTTGGAACAAAACGCCTATTTAGCGCTCTTGCATGGGGAGAATAGCAAAGGATTGAGGACAGGCAATGTTAGAACCTCTCCTTCTGCCCGCGATTTTCTCTGATGATGGGGCGTGTGGGAGATTTGGCGGATTTGGTGCGCCGCCAGACCGTTCCCACCGATTACTGTCGCTTGCTCGCTTCAACGTGGAGAACATGTTGGCGTCGCGCCGAACTGTCCGCTCTGACACGCTCCAGCATCCCTAGCGAACAAGACCCTACAGCCCCTGCCACTACCACAACGGTCAGTGGTGCACCCAAGAGATCACTGTTTCAGGCCAAAGTCTCATTGCATCTTGCTGTGATGCGCTCTATGAGCTAGGCGGCACTTGTCTCCTAACGCTCATTATCTATCAGTTGTTATCACCTCCGGTCACCCACCATTAATGTGGCCGTCTCACCCCCCCCCGCTGTGTTATTTCTGGGACCTATTTTTGTGCGACGTGCCCTAGGTTGGGAAGAAAGAGCCTCATTTGACATGCTCTTGTAACGCTGTGGACGCACAGTCCTACCTATGAGTAACCCCATCTTTATGCTGCATTCATTCCACAATGCGCCCACAGTCTCGATCATCAGGAAAAAAAGAACCCACCCAAATGTTGGCCTATATTCAAGGAATAGTGTAGTACCCGTTTCCGACGGATGTCGGCTCAGATTTTCTCTACCCTGCATAATAGGGAACGTCGTGGCAAGCACAGTGGGTCTCAACAAAGGCTGCCCAACCAACCATGAACCATGAACCATGCATATAAGCTCAGTTGCATCTTTCAAGGAGAAAAGTGTCTGCTGGCAAAAGAAATGTGCATTTATAAAGGGTCTCAGTGTGTCGATGGTAGGAACAAGAAGCTAACTGCTGCTAGATGAGACAGAGCAGTGATGACCGGTCTACTCTATTTGAATTCAAAAGATGGCCGTTGCAAGGATGGCATCTTA